AACTCAAAAAAAAAAAAAAATGCTTTATGGGCCAGGCTTGGTGGCTCAGCCTATAATTCCAACACTTTGAGAGGCCAAGAGGAGTGAATTACCTGAGCCCACGGGTTTGAGACTAGCCTGGGCAACTTGGCAAGACCTTGTCTCTACAATAAATAAAAAAAAATTAGCCGGGTATAGTAGCACACACCTGTAGTTCCGGCTACTTGGAAGGCTGATGGCTGTAGCCCAGCAGGTTGACACTGGGGTGGCTGTGAGCGTGCCACTGCACTTCAGCTTGGGCGACCGAGTGAGACTCCAACTCAAAAAAAAAAAATGCTTTATGAATGCTTTTCAAGTATACAGAAAAATAGATTAAAAAAATATAGCATTCTGTTGTATCCATGTTGTTATAACATTTTTCCATATATAATTTCTGTGCCTTCTTGATTTTTTTCTAAAATTTAATTTTACATTAAACACATTATACATCTATATGTTTTAAATTCTAAAAGTTGCACAAAGTAAATAAAACTATTCAAACAGTGTGAAAAAGTATTTAAGCCAGAAGAAGACAAAAGGGATCCCTCTGTTTCTGTCTCTAGGCCCCCTCTTTTCTACCTCAATTGTAACTCATGTATCTTTTTTTAGATGCTTTGATTTTTTTTTTTTTTTTGAGTTGGAGTCTTACTCTGTCGCCCAGACCGGAGTGCAGTGGCCGCTCCAGGCCACCACAGCCTCGACCTGCTGGGCTCCGGCGATCCTTCCGCCTCAGCCTTCTGAGTAGCTGGAACTACAGACATGCGCCACCATGCCCAGGTAATTTTTTGATTTATTGTAGAGATGAGGTCTCACCAACTTGCCCAGGTGGGTCTCGAACCCGCGGGCTCAGGCAATCCACTCACCTCAGCCTCCCAAGGCGCGGGATTACAGGCTGAGCCACTGAGCCCAGCTGCTTTGATATTTTTAAATTAGACATAGGTAGAGGTGTAGCCTTCACATACCCCTCCCCAATCCCATTCTCCTCTCTCTTTCTCCAGAGGTAGCTACTATACTGAAGCTGATGTTTAGCATTCCAATTCTTTTATTACCTGTTTGTATGTCCATAAATATCTGTAGTATTGTTTTTCTTTCTTTTTTTTTTTTTTTTGAGACAGAGTCTCACTCTGTATCCCAGGCTGGAGTGCAGTGGCATGCTCACGGCTACAGCTGTCTTGACTTCCTGGGCTCAGGTGGTCCTTCTGCCTCTGTCTTCCAAGTAGCTGGAAATATAGGCACCTGCCACCATGCTTGGCTAATATTTTTTTTTATTTATAATAAAGACGAGGTCTTGCCATGTTGTCCAGGCTGGTCTTGAACTCCTAGGCTCAGGCAGTCCTCTCACCTCTACTTGAACCACTGTGCCTGGCTGCCTCTTTTTTTTTTTGTTTTTTTGTTTTTTTTTAATGAGAGATAGGGTCTCACTCTGTCACCTAGGTTAGTGCCAATACGCCTGAATTTTTTTTCTTTTTTTTTCTTTTTTTTTCTTTTTTTTGAGTTGGAGTCTCACTCTGTCACCCAGAATGTAGTGCAGTGGCATGCTCCCGGTCACTGTAGCCTCGACCTGCTGGGCTCAAGTGATCCTTCCACCTAAGCCTTCCAAGTAGCTGGAACTACAGGCGCATGCTATCATACCCAGCTAATTTTTGATTTATTGTAGAGATGAGGTGTCGCCAAGTGGCCTGGGCAAGTCTTGAACCTGTGGGCTCAGGCAATCCATTCAACTCGGCCTCCCAAAGCGCTGGGATTACAGGCTGAGCCACCGAGGCCAGCCTTTTTTTTTTTTTTTTTTTTGAGTTGGAGTCTCACTCTGCCACCCAGACTGGATGGAGTGCAGTGACTGCTCCCAGCCACCGCAGCCTCGACCTGCTGGGCTCCGGCGATCCTTCCGCCTCAGCCTTCCAAGTAGCTGGAACTACAGGCACGTACTACCACACCCGGCTCATTTTGATTTATTGTAGAGATGAGGTCTCGCCAAGTTGCCCAGGCAGGTCTTGAACCCGCGGGCTCAGGCAGTTCACTCACCTCAGCCTCCCAAAGTGTTGGGATTACAGGCTGAGCCACCGACCCTGGCTTTGTTTTCTTTTCTTTTTTTTTTTTTTTTTTTGAGTTGGAATCTTACTCTGTCGTCTAGGCTGGAGTGCAGTGGCACACTCATGGCCATCGTAGCCTTGACCTGCTGGACTTAGGTGATCCTTCTGCCTCAGCCTTCCAAGTAGCTGGAACTACAGGCACGCGCCACCACGCCTAGCTAATTTTTTGATTTATTGTAGAGATGAGGTCTTGCTAAGTTGCCCAGGCTGGTCTCAAATCCGTAGGCTTACACAGTCCTCTCACCTCTGCCCCCCAAAGTGCTGGAATTACAGGCATGAGCCACTGCACCCAGCCTGCCTGGATCATTTTAACTTGTTTTTGTTTTGTTTTGTTTTTGAGTTGGAGTCTCACTCTGTTACCCAGGCTGGAGTACAGTGGCATGCTCCCGGCCACCGCAGCCTCGACCTGCTGGGCTCCAGCGATCCTTCCACCTCAGCCTTCCAAATAGCCGGAGCTACAGGCGCATGCTACCACACCTGGCTGATTTTTTTTATTTATTGTAGAGATGAGGTCTTGCCAAGTTGCCCAGGACGGTCTCGAACCCGAAGCCTCAGGCAATCCACTCGCCTCGGCCTCCCAGAGTGCTGGGATTACAGGCTGAGCTACTGATCCTGGCCTTTTGTTTTGGTTTTTTAAAAAAAAGCAACCTTAAGAACATTTTACTGAAGAATAACAACTACAGAAAAGCATCCATGTCATAAGTTATGAATTTTCACAATTAGCGAGCATCTAGGTATAAGGGTAGGCTCCCACAAATTATAAATGGCAACATGTTAGGGCATTGTGAATACAAGAGAATGCTATATTTCCTTAGGGAAAGGAAAATACCATATCCTGAGTGGTCCATGTTTTCCCAACAGATAGGTGGCTCTTGCTATCTCTGTCCTACACCAAGTCTCTACAAGTGAGTGTGTCTTTTGCTGAGTGTTTTCTGCTCCACTGGTCTGTTTGTCCCTGCAATGATATCACATTGTCTTAATCTCTACCAGTCTTGGTATCTGGTAGAGTAACCCCCCTCACCTTATTCTTCCACACTATATTGGTTATTTTTGGCATTGCTTTTCCCAAATTTTAGAAACTGCTTGTAGGAATCAACTGAATTTTTGAAGACAGTTCTTTGTTTATTTTATTTTATTTTATTTTATTTTATTTATTTATTTTTAGTTGGAGTCTCACTCTGTTGCTCAGATTGGAGTGCAGTGGCACGCTCCCAGCCACCACAGCCTCGACCTGCTGGGCTCCGGCGATCCTTCTGCCTCAGCCTTCCGAGTAGCTGGAACTACAGGCCCACACTACTATGCCCGGCTAATTTTTTGATTTATTGTAGAGATGAGGTCTCGCCAAGTTACCTGGGCGGGTCTAGAACCCTCAGGCTCAGGCAATCCACTCACCTCAGCCTCCCAAAGCGTGGGATTACAGGCTGAGCTACTGAACCTGGCTCTTTGTTTATTTTAAACTTTAAATATTTACACCAGGTGCGGTGCCTCATACCTATAATCCCAGCACTTTGGGATGCTGAAGTGGGAGGATCAAGAGCCCAGGAATTCGAGACCAGCCTGGGCAGCATAGGAAGACCTCGTCTCCACAAAAAAATAAAAAATTAGCCTGACGTGGTGGCATGCACCTGTAGTCCCAGCTTCTCAGGAGGCTGAGGCAGAAGTATTGCCTGAGCTCAGGATGTCAAGGCTGCAGTGTCATGCCATTGCACTCCAGCCTGGGTGACAAGAGTGAGACCCTGACTCAAAAAAATAAAAAAATAGCCAGGTTCGGTGGGTCAGCCTGTAATCCCGCGCCTTGGGAGGCTGAGGTGAGTGGATTACCTGAGCCCGTGGGT